TGTATGTGTTTTTTCAAAGTATCCATTGTGTACAGCTGTTCACAGAACTATGCCTGTACATGCCTGTTCAAGAAATTAAGCCTGTGCATACCTGTTCAATGAATCAAGCCCGTATATGACTGTTCAAAGTACTGTATAACGGAGCATGCAGTGGGATCTGTGGGCGAACAGACAAGGACCTCAGTACGGTGCACTTGTGGTACGGGTGCAAGACTGAGGGGTCAAAATGAGAGGCGGTCAGTATATGTGAGCGCTGCACGAGCGACGAGCGGGAACACGAGGCGGGAGATGGAAAGGCGCAGAATGCAAACATGTACTGTAAATGGAAACAATGAATCGATGAATGAGTGATATACAAAAGGTGGCGCAGGGGTAAGCAAAGGTCAAGAAGGCGCAATCGTGCAGTAAGTAACAGTAGCATATCATAGAGCAAGGTGTAGGTATACCCGGTATGCAATAGGTCGAGCGTGAGGTACGACAAGTGTGTGTGTCGCACATACAGCATCCGCACGCGCAGGCATCGGGAGCTCGTGCTGTCACTGCGCTCGGATTGCTTGCTCCAACACTGTATAGAAAGTATTGTAGAGATCAGACAACACATGGAGACGAGGATTCAGAGGGGAAGAGCAGAGACTCAGGGGGAAGGGAAAGTGGATTATTCCGAAGCTCGGGGCCCGTGTACGTACAGGTGGGCCGTGGCCGCCCGCCATTCGCTCTTTCATTGCACAATTACACCTGGTATGCGTTACGGCTATCGTTGTGTCGCTGATATAGTCAAGTGGCAACTAAGACAACGTTTTCGGTCCGGCCATACTGCTCCACGGTTCGAGCCCCAGCATGGCACACTTTTTGGTCTGAAATCTGCGCATCGGTGGCAGGCGAAGTGCCTGCCCCCGTCTTCGCCCGCTATGACCCTATTCGAGCCGCGCCCACCATACTAAGGACGAAAACGTATCATATACACCCTCAACGTACTACTCTGACATCCACTACACGTACAATCCCGGTACTTCCGAACCGATCCCTTCGATTCCCCCTTTCCGTCCCGCGTTTCGCCCTCCTGCCTGCTCATACAGTCACGTGAACGCAAACGACGCGACACATCGCATAGCGTCGGATCGGTCAACAGGTCCCCAATGAAATAACTCACGTCCGGCTATCCACCGGCACAGCGCAACCTGAGTGCGCGCTAAGGCCGACAGCGCGGTCGCATCGTTCGGTAGGCCGGTTCCCGCGCCGCCCATGCACATGCGTGGCATGTAGTACACCGCAAGCCCGGCCGCAGCAAGCATGTACAGCGCCATCGCGATGAGTCTGACCCAATCTTGCAAGGGAAGTCCTTGAACCTGCAACGCATACCTGTTAGATGAACAGTCATGGTCGTAGAAATGAGCTCGATACCTGACAGGTGGGAGTCGTTTGCGCCTGTGCAGCAAGCGGAGCGGAGTGGCCAGCAGGTGTCGCAGGACGCTTCAATGGCACGAGGACCACAGACGGCGGGATCGGAGCATGCTCAAGGAAGGCGCTGGAAGTAGGCGCTGTGTCGCCGTGGCTACGTGAAGCGGTCGTCTGTGGTGGATGTGCCCTGACGAAGACATGCTGTGGCTGTGGTCCGCCGCTTGAGGAAGTGGATATGTCGACGGATAGAGACGTGTCGGGCGTCAGGGGAAGCGGCGGGGGAATGTACGCCGTCTCAGTGGACTTGTGGACCATGAGGCGGGTGTTGGTGGGTTGCCGCAGACGTTTTTGGAGACCGATGATGTCCACTAAGAGAAAGAGCCAGTGAGTGAACTCGTGAACTCGTGAACGGCGTTGGCAGAGACGAACATTCTTTATCCCTCTTCTCAGACGTCAGACGAGCCACGTCCTCATCATATTGAAATTGTAAGTTCAGATAGCTGGTTTTCACGGTATCCACAGCAGCGGTCGCATCTTCAAGCTGGGAGCTGAGACTGGAACATCGGTCGCGGTAGATAGTGACCTCCGAAGACAGTGATGCCTTGTGCGCCGGGTCAGATGAGATGGTCCTTGACATGAAAACCACACTCACGTTCTCTCGTTCGAGGAAAGTGGCGCGGCTGTCTAAGTCCTTCGTCGCGCACTTCAGCTCCACCAAGGACGCGTCACGCGAGTCGCGTTCGGCTTCGACATCTCTAAGCGTTTCCTGGAGAACACCCTGAGTCACACAGGTAAGCGGGTAGACGTGACAGGAGGGCGTTTGGACGAACGTTCTCCTGTTGCGCAGTGCTGCACCTGTCCTCCAAGACCCGGAATCTTTCGCTCTGGCGTCTCAGGACATCTTGGTGTTGCTGCGCGTCGACTTGGATCTTCTCTTCTAGTCCGAGAAGGGACGCCTGGTCCGCTACCTGGCGTAGAAGGTTCGCTTGTTTACACGGGGTGCGAGGAGGGCACAGATGGTACTCACAGCTTGCTCTTGAAGTCGGCGAATGACCTGCCCCTTCTTGCGGGATTCCTCCTTGGCCTCGTCGAGTTGAGCATCAGTCGTTGCAGCGCGATCCGAAACGGATATGAGCTCGGCCCTGAGCCTCACGAGCTCACGATCAGTCGCTGCGAGTGTGCATTCACACCACTTTGTAGACCCAGATTCCAGGATGAGTGGCGGGATTCCGCATCGTTCACAGGAAGGGGTGGAATCTAAGTGTAGTGGTGAGCACAGCACATTTTCAACCAGGACGTTCACTGACCTTCGATCGTCGGCGGGCAATCGTCGAAGACAGGAGGATACTCATAGCTGTATTCTTTCGTGACAGGCTACGTGGTTCAATTAGATGAAGCCTAAGTAGCAGGGTGCTATGGGTGCTTACTCTGTCAAAATTCTCGCAGAACGCAGAGACGGCGGGTATGGTCGCCATCGCGAGCGCAAGCAAAGTGGGTGAGATGAAGACCTCCAAGTGGCGTCAGGGCTCTCAGGAGTAGTTCGCAGCGTGCCATATTGCAAAGGAGACAAAGGGCGATGTATGAGGCAGCGAGGAGAGCCCGGAGAGGTCGTCGGTCGTGACAGAACACGCACGCCCCAGAAGCGCCCACGACCTGACCTTCTTGCGCGCCTGACCATATGGACACACAGAACTTTAATTGCTTTAATTTATTTAACAGTATACATTCTCCGAAGCAAGGGGAAGAGACGCGGTGAGGGGTTGCTACAGATATCGACGAGGGCGCATGGGAGCACAAGGATCTTACAGAGAGGTGTACAAGCAGGCGAACTATTACAGATCTACCGGGATTACCAAGGGGATATTCTGCTGGACTGAGGCGGCAACCAGGTGAGCCGTCTCGAAGAGGTACCTACACCGTCGGCATGAGCGCGCCTGCATACATGACCAGATATTGAAGACGTACTTTTGCACCGCGGCGTGAGCGAGCTTCTTGAAAACGGTACCGCCCATGTTCACTACAAAGGACCGGCATCCGCCACGCATAACGACCAAGCCGCCGCGCCAGTCGACTTCGGGTAGGACAAGCTTGAGGGAGGCGTTGACCTCGCAGTCGGAGCAGTAGTGCGCAGCAATAAGGAAGCGATGCTCACGCCCGACGGCATCCAGGCAGGTGATCCAGGTCTCGTGCAGTTCACCGTCTGCTCCGAGGATAGCTTCGAACGACGGGAAGCTGGGGTTGTCGAGTCCATCACGGGTAGAGTGGATGGCGGTGGGCACATGGACCAAGGCTGGCTGTCGTCCGTCGCAGGCATACATAACACCCGTGATGGACTTCACCGTCGGCTAGAGCAAGTCGGATAGGTACTCAGCACAACGTCATTCGTCGCAAGGTCAAAACTCACCTTCTTGCAGCGGAGAGGCGAGCGAACAGAAGGCATTTAGGGCGGTAATTGGGCGGAAGGAGGCAGAGATCTAGAGGGAAGAACGGTGGTGAGGGGTTAATAAGGAGAGCGCGAGTGGCAACAATATCCATAGGCTTTGTACACCACGAATTTATTCTTCAAGGACGTTTAAGGACACGTGGATAGACTGGCGTTGCCATAGCCAAATGCCTATGCTCTGCCTCAGACACCGTATTATCAGCTCAGAAGGGCCCACAGCGGGCGCGAGCAGTAAGGACATTACGCGCAGGTCGAAGGAGAGCCTGGAAGTGGGCAGGAAGAGAGGGCGCTATAGCCCGCATTTCGGACATTGAACATAGTGCTAGCTGGATTATACAGTTGAACAAGCGGTGTTTCAAAAATCACTTCTCCCGGCGCGGTCGCCTGCAGTCTACGGCCGACAGTCTTCTCCTAGTATCTCATCTGCATCAGCGGCATGAAGCCGACGTGTCTGGTCTGTTATGCGCTGCTTTCTGAGGACCCAGGATCAAACCCGCAAACTTTTCCATGCGGTAAGAAAGTGCAGCCATGCCTCTGGGCAACTTGCTCATTTCTATGATCAGGGCATATCGTCTGCTCGGAGTGCGCTGCCGGACTGGCTTCGACCCATGTCAGATGCCCTTTCAAATGCGCAGCCGGGGCTAGTGGAGGCTTGCAGCCCGTCGAATTTTGTTACAGTGCGCAAGACTGGACTGTGGAAGACGTCGCGCGGGAGTACGTACTGGTATTCTACTGTCTTATCATTTACGCTGAGATCTCATTTTCCGTTAAGGTACGCCTCAGGACTACTGCGCTGTGCACGCATAGACGACCACGCAAGAACGAGCACTCTACCGAAGGAGATGGCCGCCGTGGACCACAAGCTTAGGATCCAAGGCCAACGCATCGCGGCTCATCGTGCCAATATCGTGCGCCAACTAGACGACGCGACGAAGGCCGAGGCGGACATATCCAGAACTATCGTTGAATGTCGCACAGAGGTCCGTACGATCAACGCTTTGGGAGACAATACTGCTGCCGGCGTGAGCCCTGTGGGTCCTCTCAGAATTTGCTGGCATTCGACTGCTAATGCCTTCGGGTTGCTATCCGCGTCTTGAGCATGCGCCCCCCAAGTCAATCTCCGCTCGCCGTCCTCTTCCGGATGAGAGCCCGGATGAAACTCTACCCAAGGCGCGTATGCCGATCTTCTCCCCTCCGATATGCACGCTTAACGTCTCCTCATGTGCTCAGGCCAAACGTAGTCATCAATAGCCCTTCATCCATTGTACTGCGCGTGATCCAGCAACCTCATTCCCCGCTCTATAAGTTGTCATTCAATATGAGCCCTCCGTAGTGGGCCTTGCTCCCAAGATCATCATGGTGTGCTACACAGACGGTGTGGATAATCATCGACGTATAAAGCACTTTGTTTGAGCCTTGAAGGTAAAACATGTACCTCTCGATCCCTCGGTCTCCTCCCTGCTCTCACCATGTATCCTGGACACATCGCTTGCGGCGCCTGCGCCTTACCATTCGTGCCAGATGCACCAAACCTGGCTGCGCCGCACACTGTGAGCCCCTGTGGTACGTCTACGCCCTAAACAATGCTCACGCCACTCATCGCCAGCTCTGTGTAGGTCATGTAACGTGTGGCGCGTGTTTAGCTCCCAGGGCCGATGCAACTCCTGCAGTAGATGTACTGACTTGTCCGGTATGCGCTACGCAAATTCAAGTCGACCACGTCGTTCGTCTATATCCCGCCAACGAAGACAGCAAGGCGGAGCAGGCTTTCTGGGACGCAGTCATGCGGTAAGCACTCGCTTCTTTTCGCCCATTCGGTGTCCGCAAGTGATGTCAAATGCTAACGCGCCCTCACAGAGACCCTGCGGTGAAATCGGCCAAAGCTGCGGCGGAGATGGCAGCCAGCAAACGCCGAGGCGTCGAGAAGGAGCTTGAGTTGTGTACGGAGCAGCACGGACTGAACGGGTCGTCCATAGCGGAGCTCCTAGAACAACTCGGCACCGCTCGAGCGCATCGATCTTCTATTCACCGGCGGCTTGAATGCTTCCAAGAGAAGCTACAGATCCTTCGAGACGAACGGAAATGTCTCGAGGATCGGCAACCTGGCAAGGCCAGCACAAGGTGACGCCTCCGTTCCCGTGATGATGTCGCTGTTTGGTGAGGCTTACCTATGCACGCACCAGTGGTTGATTGCGCTATCTCTCAAGGCGGGCGCTCGACGACGTCCGGGAGACAAGGAGGCTCAGGAGCTCACAGCGTCGTCGAGAAGCCGGCTAGTTCTGTGTTGTTGGTTTTCTATCTCGATGTTAATCAATATATACGTCGTCCATTGATCCCCGGCCATGCGTCTCGCTCTCTGTATGCTTGTATATTGATGCGCTTTGGGGATTTGCCTGCAGTCGAGTTTTGAGTTCGCGCAGTGCACTATTGGAGCTCGGGCCTCACGTGACCACCCCCCACCGGCAGGTACTCACCGCGGCCGCGAGTGGCGTACTTCATCCTCTCTCTCGAGTCTGACTGTTCGTCCTACGTCGTCCCTCGCCCTACAGTCTTCCCAGTATGAGCGTGTATCGCAGATTTGGCCACAATTTGCCTCATAAGTCGGGCATCAACGCGGCGGCATTCGGTCCGGACGCCACCTTTGTCGTCACGGCCACGGCGGATGGCGGCGTGTATATCTGGCGGGCGGAAGATGGTGCTCTTATCTGTTCTGCTGCTGGGGATACGTCTGTGCTCTCGATTGCATGGACAGAGATTGAAGACACGTTCGTGTACGGTACCGCCAGCGGGAATGTGGCTAATTGCAGTTTCTCCTCGGTGCGTGTCATCGCTGTACGTTGACTGCGTAACGTCCTGCTTATCACTCCATATACAGGAAGACAATACGCTACATATAGTAGGGTTTCTGGCCCACAATGCACCAGTGAACTGTATATCCGTTCGCGGGTGTCTGGTAGTATCTGGCGCTGGAAGCGAGGTTCGTGTCTGGAAGTGGCGCGATGACGGTATGTTCTCCTGGTAGCGGAGAGCTCGCCCGAATGACCCTTCTGACGTGCTATATAGGGCCATGGGATCTAGTCAAAGACGTCTCGATCCCCGGCGCTGCAACGGTCGGGCGCCCTCGGACAGAAATTCTGGTGACGGCAGTTGGCTGGGCGAACGTAGCTGAAGAGGGCCCCATGCTCGTCGCTAGTTACCTCCACCATGGCGTTTTGTAAGTCCGGATCGTGTACTACGTGTCCGACACTCACTCATTCATCTAGCCTCTTCGCAAGCGAATCCTTGACCTGCACAAGGTTCATATCCACAGGCGGCATGACGTACGTTTCTATCATGGCTCTAGGGAGCCTTATCCGCTTACGCTTTGGAAGCGTCGGCGCCAGCATTTCTGATGATGGGCGGCTGATATCATTGACCACTCTGGCTGTTGGTTTCGATATCTATTCGCTCGCGACTGGCAATCGCCTTCGCAGGCTCGCGTATGACGGAGAGACACGGGCGATTCCTAGTCGGTTCCTCCATAGCGACGCGCAGCTTGTATGTGGGGGAGAAGGGGGCAAAGCGCACGTATGGGACGTCATGACTGGCAATAAGCTTCAGTCGCTTCCCCATCTCGGTTCGTGGCCCGTTTGTGATGTTCATGCTGTGTCAAGGCTGATACTATCGCTTTAAGCTCACGACAAAGTTGTCGTGGTTGACGTACGTGTTGACTATATGGCTGTAGCGTTTTTCTGACGATTAAACAGTTCGCTCGTGACCGCAAACTTGGGCGAACCTTGATCATCACGGGAGTGTCCGATGAGCTTAACCCGTACGCCGCGCTGTGGATCAAGGGTAGGTCGATGTAGTCCTACACACTTTCTTTGCATGGTGGCGCTCATTATCCAGCAGAAGAGTCCGAGGCTCCGAACGTGGAGCCGGCCCAATCGGTGCGGTACTCTACCCCTGCTCTGCATCTTAACTTCGCTGACCACGTCCCTCTGAAGGACCCGCCTTCACGTGGGGACTATACTTGGTTGTTTGCTCTTCTAGCCCTCATTTGCGTTACATTCTTTGCCTCATCCTTGTCCTAAAGATCCCCCGCGCACGATGATGTAACCTTGTGGATTCATGAAGCGGCATCACCTCAAATAGACGAGGCGGGCCTGCGCCTATATTAGACTCCGTTCACCAAACATACGGTGCACGCTCCTCAGGTATGAGTACTGTCGGTTACATATCCTCGCTAGTCATTGGGTTGGGTCCCAATCGTCAGCTAGGAGGGGCTGGAGCCGTCGGATGCCCGTGCGTGTCAGGAAGCTAGCCCAATTAGGTGAAGTCACGCGACAACGCAACGCGGCCTCCCTCCAGCCCATTTCCCATGATGATGCATTGATGAGCATCGCACTGCGCAGGGCTCGCTGTCGCCCTCAAACCATCACCTCTCGCTCACCCATATCTATCGAGATCCTCCAGTAGTAAAGTCCCCCATTGCTCATCATCCTAATGCGATATTTAAACGGTTGTGTACTCTCAGGTTCCGACCCACCCGTCTTCGCTGAACAAGGATGCCTGAGATCCAGATGGCTGAGGAACTCGACCCTACAGCCAAGATTGAAAGCACGTATAACAACTCAACAGTTTTTTCACGCACTGATTCATGTACCGTAGGTCTTCTGCGAGAAGTGAGCCGTCTGCGGGCGGCTCTTACCCTCAAGACCCATCAAGCTCACGGCTTGGCTGTGGTCGTCAACAACCATATCCTCAACTACGACTACTATCGCGACCGCTGCAGGGAGCTTGAGGATGAGTTGGTGAGGCGCTTTGGGACAGTGGACCCTGATGCCTTGAGGATCGTCATGCCGCTCAGGTTTCCTGACTGATCGGGCCTAGGTCAGTACTCGAGCTCCGTCACAGGTTCCCCCGCTTATTCCTTCGCTACAATACAGGATTGAGCAGTCCATCTCCGAGTTTGTCTATGTGCTTTCGTGGTCTTTATCTTGCTGTGGGTTTTGTAGATGCAGTAATCATCACGCTTATCATGCTTTCCTCTGAAAGAGACTACGCCGTGCGTTTCAGTTTTGTCAACGCACTTCTTTCCAGTCGTTTGGCGTGCTGCCTAATGTAGAGCAAACACGCTCTATGTCGGAACCGAAGGGCGTGAATGGCTCAGATCGCGGATAGGCGCCGATATGGCGGCACAAGGTCGTTTATACCAGCAGGCTCGCTATAAAAGTAAGTCCGCATCGCCCCCACGCCTTCCCCTCAACTCAATAATCTCCTCTCCTCCGAGATGTCCGCCCTCACCGAAAATATTCTTCTACTGGCTCTGCTGCTCGTCCTTTATGCGTATCGACCTCGCCCGGTTGCAAGCCAAGTGCTTCAATCTCCGCGCGCCGAGGTGCTGAACGACTCGGCGTCCCACACTGCTCCCGACGCCACTCGAATCGTCGCGCCATGCGGGCCCAATCCGCATCGCTCTGGCACTCACCCGCACAACAACACTGTCTTCAGAGCGAGCACCCCCGTCGGCTTGCCCGCATCGGCATCTGTCCAATATAAGGTCGTCGTCAACGTCGAGCCTGAACCTGACCAGACGCCCACCGTCCACCGGGCATTCGACCACGCAGCTACGGCTGCGACAGACGGCGCATACGCGTAAGTCGGTCTGTCCACTCCGCATCGACAGTTCGCTCAATGTGCCTGTGTCTCTCTAGGAACGTTCCCGAGAACCAATCATCTGCGCCGTCGCCCGGGCCTCGTGCACCTCCCTCCCCCTCCGGCTCTACCGTCACGGCTACCTCTTCCACCCTCGTCTCAACCTCCCCTACCCTTGCCTCAGACCCCCTCCCTCTTATATCTACCCCTACCCGAACTCGAGACTTGCCTGAGCCTTACACCGACGTTCTCTGCTCAGATGTCCCCGGCGACTCCGGCATGCGAGCGCAGACCATAGGCTTGATGACGCCGCCGGCTTCTGAATCGCGACGCGCTCGCTCCGTCCCCGCGAACACAGTGCGGTCTTCCACCCCGTCTACCACATCCGCCAACCTTCGTCCGATGGAGCCACTTCACATCGTGGCCGAAGAGGAGGATCAGAAGCCGACGTTGCCGATTGTTTCTGCGAGCGTTCGCGTGACGCGGGCGCAAGCCGCGGCTGCCAGTCCTGGGACCTCTGTATCCAGCGTTCGATCGACGTCCACACAGGCGACCGGAAGTAGCACGACCAGGAAGACTGCTGGAGGTGGTTCGGCCAAGAAGGTAAGGTCTTACAACTCTTCATACCATCATGTCTAACTAGTAAGCAGCCGCCCGCCGACCCGCGCAAGCGTATCTTCAAGTGGTTCAAGGGGAAGAAGGGGGTTTACCTGGACAACGGAGAGCCTGCTGGCACGGCTTGGTACAAGTCCGAGTCGGATGTCGAGATCGCTGCACCTCTCGACCCCTCGTGCCTACCCGACATCCGCCTCGGCGATCTCTTCTACCACGAGTCCCCGGGAGTCGATCAGCTATGGCTTTGGTCTTTCGCCACCGAGCTCTCCTTTGCCCCAAGCTGGGTGCGCGTTCCTATCGCGTACAAACGGCCGGATGGTAGGAAGCTCACTGTCACCCCGTCGCGCAAGGAGCCTTCCTGGGTCGTGTAGGGCCGGTGAGCACGCTATGCAGCATGTTGATCTGCTTATTACTCACACTTTTAATAGCCCTCTCAGGACGACTACGTCTCCATCTGCTCGCCGTAGATGGAAATGACCCGCCATGATCAGTCGTTCTCCCTTCCCTTCCTTCCCTCTATGACTCACGCTCAGGTTCAAGTTGGTGCTGGCCACACCCCATCCCCTCGTTTACCGTTCCCTGTTCTCCATCGCCGTTATGTTCCCGCTACCCATTTCCTATACTCCGTCACCGTTATGCCCCTGCTACCCGTTAACTACCCCCTCCTTTGGTCTTCCTACGTCCCGACATCCCCTATGCCCACTCAATCCGCTCCTTACCGCGTCCTATGACCCGTCACCGTTATGTTTCCGCCACCTACCCTCTGTCCCTCCTTTCCGTGTCCTATGATCTGTCTCTGTTATGTTCCCGCTGCCTGTATATTCTACCACTCTGTAATTCATCAGCTTCTCCGTGAACAGTACTAGTGCGTTCGGCGTGCCAGGTGTGGTGTTGGGCTATCGTCTGCGCTCATGTGCTTGACAAGATCGTCGCGGGGGTGTGCCGTCCATTTTAGGTGCAAGACTGCCGGCGCGAGGCCCTCTACACGCCCACGCGATGCCGTGCATTGTTCTCCAAGCACACGTCTCGATCATCCGGCGTGCCAAGTTGGGTGGCGCGCGTCTCTGAGATCTGAACGTTGAACACTAACTTGGCCTCACATCCTCGCTTCTAGTCCCATAGCATGTCTCTCTTCGCTGCCTTCTCTCCGTATGTTTGCGCGAGAGAGCTCTCTGGGCATGAGGATTCTGTCAACGCTATTGCGTTCTCCCCTGACGGGCGTTATTTGGCGAGTGGCGGAGATGACGGTTTACTCTTTATCTTCGAGCCTGTTACAGGTGAAGTCCTCCAAAAGCTAGCATACGGCGTACCTGTTACTGCCCTCGTATGGTCAGGCCGTCTCGACCACGAGCTGCTTGTTGGGTTCAGCGATGGTGCAGTACTGGTGGCTGAGGTCACAAAGGTAACTTACAATATCTACTCGCCGCGACAGCCCGATCTCACACGAGCCTCCTAGTTGACTATTGCTGGATACTATGTGCCTCGCACACATGTATCTGAAGGGGCTGTCGAAGCGATAGCCAGTGATCCTCACTCCGAGTATGAACGACTCGTCGTATGTGCAGGGTCCAGAGTTGAATTGTGGGAGAAGTTGCGGAAAAGTGATGGTATGTGCTCTCCCGTACTCCCTGCACGTCCCGAGATTTAAAACCTTTCGAAACGAGGCGTTACTCTGGTGTGGCAGCAACGGCGTCTCGAGCTACCCTCCTCCGTCACGCTCTCTGTAAAGGACGGGCATCGGAGCGTCCCTTTACCTCGGTCGGTACACATCGTCCACGAAGGCCGCGAAGCCATCATCAGCTTTTTGAACCATGGCATCATGTACGTCCGAGCGTATCATAATCGAGCCACATTGACTCCTCGCGCTAGCTGCTGGGACTTAGTTGCAGGCTCAGAACCGCCGAAGTTCTGCTGGAAACTACTACCGCGTTCTGCGCGAATGTAAGGCCGCTTCCATCTTTGACATGGTTTAATGGTGCTAATGTGCTCCATAGCGGTCGTTCAGACGTTGCGAGCGGGCAGCGCCTTGTCGTGTCGAACCTCTACGACGGCTTCGACCTGTATGATATCGCTACGAGGGAGCATGTGCGCACTCTCAAGACTGCGCTCGCAGTCAATGTTCCGCTCCCAGTCATACTCACGTCGCATGACTCCGAGATAATAGCGGGTAGCTCTTCCGGGGAAGTGCGCGTCTTCGACCCCAGCAGCGGGGAAGAACTGCAGGTTCTCGACCATGATGGTGAGTTCTTCTCTCCGAGTGTGCCTGCCGGCTAACGATATGCAGGAGCAATCATACAGGCCCTGGTACGCATTGGATACCCTGTTCTGTGCTGTCGTACCTCATTAACCAGGCGTGCACAGGCACAGTGTGATCTGAAGGGGTCAATTCGTCTTCTCGCGACAGGATCCTCCGAGAAAGGCTGCGCGACAACGCTGAAGGTGTGGCAACGAAACTTGCGTGGGGTCAAGACGGCATCGCTCGCAGCGCGTCCGAGTGGCGCACACCTTGGATTGCGGATGGGCGATGGTTATCACTCTATCGGACCCCTGGATGCCCATTCCAAGCGGCGCCTTCCGACACCGGGAAAAGGCTCCCGCAAAGCGGTAGAGCCCCTTCCCCGTAAGGTCCTCGGTACGTGCAAGATCCTACATTGATCAGTTATAGACACTGATCACCCCATACAGGCTCCCGTCGTACCCGAGGTTGCACTGCGCCCGGCCGAATCCCCCGCCAGGCAGTAGTCCTCGGCAACTTCATTATTTCCGTTGCGACGCCTCGTAGGCTCTTTGGTGCGTGCACGGTGTTTGTTCAGCGGCGGCCGTCGATGTTAACTGCTTCATATCGCCATACAGTCGCGCTTTTTGGGATCTGCGCTGCAATCTCACTGGCGGCCCTGTCGCGCGTTTATGGTGCGAGGGCTATATCTGTAAGATTACCTGCCAGGAAATTCCTTACGCATACGCTGATGCGAGAGCTCTCTTAGCTGTTGGCAGGCGGGCTCACCTATGTTCTGGCTCTTTTTATTTCTGTTGTCGGTGTCGTCGTGCGTGCTTTCACGTCGGGTATAGCGCGGCACGTAACTTCCTACATATCGCATGGGAGTAAATGCTCACATGCATCCAGGTTGTTGGGATGCATCCGCGGCGTGTTCGTGGGTATTACCGTTGAGCTTGCTCAATGGTTGATTGACCTTCTCAGAGGGTGAGAGCGCAATCCAGTATTCCTCCGAGACGTTACCAATATTCTTCAGGTATGTGGATAAGGTGGGAGGCGGAGAGTCTATCCCCGGTTCTGTCGAGCGGGAAATCCTGAGGGTCTGAGGCGCTGGCGCCACGTTTTCCCCGACGACCCACCCCAGGCGCCCAACCGATGTAGTTCTCATTCTCATTCTCGCTCCCCTCCTCGACTAGCTAGACTTTGCTACTGCGCTATCACTCGCCGTCGACAGTATCTCGTTCTACCTGTGTTCCATTACCACATAGTATCTCTTGGCGCAATGCATGTACCCCATGGCATGGGGGTCTTTCGACAACATCGAGAGGATGTGAGCATGTATCCCATGTATCCCTTGCTAGGTGCCAACTCGCCTCTTCTTCAACCAGAACTCCTCGACGCAGCGCCACATTTGATGCTGGAATCTTGTAGGATCCCGCGGAGTACGCAGTTCCAAAGACAGACAAAGGATGCGGTCGCGCGCCGCGTGGTCCGTCGCCTCAAGTTCTTCATGCAAATGGCTACGTCCTCTCTTGCTTCTGTCACACATTTACCCTGCCCGCCACTGCGCTCGACTGACCCACTGATATGTCATCATCTACCGCTGTATCTACCATTGAAGCTATGGCCGCTCTTGCGGAGCAGCGAGACGCCGTTGATCTGCTGCAAGCGCGGTATACTCTCGAGATTAGACGGTGAGTGGCACATTCGGAGATGTGTCTGTGTTAGCTGACCATTTGTTGCAGGTTGCTGCGCCCGCAGGGCTTCAGTCTTAACCCTGCGGAATGGGACTCATCCGCTCTCGGAGTCCTGACTTCTCTCAATCGCGAGTACCGCCATGACGCAAAGATCGAGATCATCGAGAACGCGAGGAAGATTCGAAGGAAGGAAGGCTTGCACATGTCGCGGAGCTAGACTCGACGCGACCAGGCAACGCCTACAACAAAGAAACTAATACGATCTAACCCAAGGGCGGCGAGCGCGAAGGCTTGCTAACGCCGAGCGTAGACTTTCAAGTCAAATCTAGCCCAAGGACCAAGTTAATATTATGCTGACTAAGAGAATACAAAGGACGGCTTACCTAGCCCAAGGACCAAGAGGTCAAGATGAGGGCTAGGGTCGCTACAGGTGGGGTTTATATACTGAGTCAGGGGAGCCAAACATGTACAAACGTAAAGGTGGTCTGTGCGCACATTAGTGCCAGTCTGCAGGTGGGGGTCAGGTGACTGGTCACATGCTTCTAACTACTGGTTCTAAGTCTAAGTGTCGTACAAATGGCCGTAGAAAATAAGGAAAAATGTGGAAACATATAGGGGTCTTGTCGTCTCCACGACATTACCCCCCTCCTATTGTCCATCGTCCCTGATGGACCCACGG